TCAGAATTGTAATCTTTCTTAGTGTGTACGACCCTTCCTTTTTCTCTGTAAGTTTGGAGAACTAATACTTGGCACTACATAAACAGGGAGAAGAGCAGCCAACAGCTCTTTTAAGGATTTCAGATGTGTCCCCTAATGGAGAGAACTTTGGCTCTGCTGCAGAGTGGAATTAGCTGTCTGGATCAGGTAGGCTTTATTTGTATGTTACACGTTAACAAGCATACTGTTTCTTCTGATACCTTTGGATTTACCTTGAATTTATGTTGTGTTCACTTAATCACCCTAGATCAAAGTAGCTTTCACTTAACTAAGGAACAGCTAACTGCTTTCAGTTGTGCTTTGAAAAAAATGATGTTGTATTAAGGTATTAAGGTATTCTTGAAAAAAAAAAAACAAAAAAAAACCCTTCAGTTTTGTAGTTGGCTTTGAATATAATCTCTGTAATTAATGTTCAAAACGTATTTGAAAGGTCAATCTGTGCAGCAAAATGTCTAGGGTGGTGATATACTGCTGCACTTGGGAGCTGTGGGAAGGGTGAGATGAAAGGCAATTTTCTGTGTGATAAGTAATCAAGAAAGATTATGTGTGCTGTTCATAGTGTTCCAAAAGGCTGAAAATACAGCACAGGCTGTTGTGAAAGGTGACCTGACAGCAGAGTTGCAGTAGGTGGCAATACTTAGCATCTGCTCGAGAGACAAACGCTGCTGTCCCTGGGCAAAGAACAGGAGGCTTAAGATCTGCAAGGGATATGAATTTTCTGCTTCATCAAGTGTAAATTCTATTAGAAAATTGTTTTGGTATATTCAAGGAACAGTGATTTCTCCTGTGATTGATTTTTGTCACCCAGAGTTTTCATTGTCAAGTTTCTTGTGCTGCTCTCATTGTTCCTTCAAATGTAGTTAGGCAAAACTGTTTGTATGGGTTGCAAGGGAAGAACTGCTCGTTTGTAATAGACTAGGGTAATGAGATAAAATTTTTGAAAGAAGAATCAAGCTCAAATTATACTTGCAGCGTGAATTCCTAGAGATGGAATCCAAATCTTTGCTATCAAATTCTGCTGCTTTAGAATTATAGAATGGCTTCAGTTGAGTTTAAAACTAATTAAGTTTTCTGCTCTATTGAGAATATGTTTTTATCCTCCTTTCTTGTGTAAAAAGCATTGTTGACCGTTTCTTTTTTTTTTTTGCTTATGACAAATTGCTTTCTTCTACAGTTCAGCAATCTTCTCTTTAAAGAAATATAACACCGTTTGGTTGTTAGATCTTCCACCAGTCTTTCCAGTAGATTTACCTCTGTTTCATTTTGGTATTAATTCAAACTTGTTACCTTTAGAATAAATTCTCTTTTCATGAGAAATTTTTATAAATAGTTGTATGGATTTGCACTAACACTGTAAGGTCCCTTAGGTGTGTGGTGTTTCATTTTCACTGAATTCCTCAAATTAGGAAGCACTGTGAGCAGTTTCCCCAGGAACTTCTGAACTGGCACTTCCAGCTCCTGTGTGGAGTTGCAGCCATGCACGGTTTTAAAGCAGTGTTGGTGTGTTTGTTACTGCACTGCAGTCTCCGGGTCTGATTCAATTCAACTGCGAGCAAATTAATACAATTATTTTAACAGTAAGTTTCCTATTCAGATAACGTTGTTGAACAAATATAGCAGCTGAGCAAACATAAACACCAGATGGCAGTATTTGATTAGTTTCTGACCTCTGCTTGTCAAATCCATTCCATGTTTTTTGACTAATTTTATTAAACCTATTTTTGAGAGCGACTGAGATCTTTTTCCTGAAAAGTCCTTAAGATAAACGAAGAAATAAACCCTGAAAGAATGAGAACCTCCAACTGGGAGCTAAAAGCAAACTACTCTGAGGGGTTTTTTTTTTGTCCTCCACAGTCTTAGAGAGACCAAAACAAGTTACAGCTACTTGGTTAGTGTAATGGTTTGTTTTGTGGAGCAGTGTGCTTCCTCAAAGCTACTTCTGCCTCCATGGACCTTTTGTGGCAGTTCTTGGTAGCTTCCTAAAGAGATCACGCCTACAAAGGCAGTTAGCAGTTTGGGACTTCATTTGTATGGTAATCTAACTGTAAACCATATAGTTTCAGTAAATCTAATCTCTATTCGTTATGGTAAAATGAATATTTTCTGAAATGTTTTTGTGTAAGTTCTTAAAAAAAAAAATAACTTAAACAAACAAACAAACAAACAAACAAAAACAAACACCAACACACACTATGTATACATAGATAGTGGTCTGTATTTGGAAACCAGCTTCATTTACACTCATTAAGAGGTTTTTTTTATTATTAAAGTCCACATTTGTTTCTGAATTCAAAACACTGTCTATCAGCGATCGTGCTTCAAACCTCCTTAGGATAGAGAAATTGATAAGTGGCACCAAATTCATTACAGAATTTGTATTGATTTCTTTTTGATTTGTTATGTTTTGGGGGCTTTCTCTTTTTAAAGTTGGTGTTCCATCTAAAAACTGTAGAGGCAGAAAACTGATTTATCAATTGCTTGGGATACAAGAGCCTTAGCTTTATCTCTTCAGCAACCTCTCAACTTCGTGTGTTGTCAGAAGTCTGCAGTCAAGAAAAGAAGGTCTGTTGTTCATCTGGGATCTCAGTTCATGTTGCATTAGGATCAGCTATACTTACATATAAAGGGCTGTAAGGCCCTCATGTCCTGCTGACCTCTGATTCATTAGATGCATCATCATGAAACTCCTGAAATTTCTGGACAGGTGAGACTTCTCCAGAGGCTACCAGTGTGTTACAGATTCTTGTGAAAACAGTGATGGGTCTGTTACATTGTGATCTTGACACTCTTGAAATTTCCAGTTAGGAAAAGTTATGTCAGCTGCTCTGCAGTTTTCTGAAAGCTGACACTGGGTTTCCTTCAGAAAAGAATGTTTGAACATTAAGGAGAACCTGAGGGAAGATTTTGGCAGTTAAGAATTTCTTTCTTCAGGTTCAGACCTTACCCATCTGAAACATACAAACTGCACATTCTTTTTGCCTCAAGTCTTCATATACATTCATAAAACACCATTAGCCTAGTACAGAAGATTAACTCTAAACACTGTCAATATGTTCTTGGAATTCTCAATTTTCATATTCTGCCATGGATCTTTAATTGGATTTCTAAGCCACTGGATTAGCCATTGGATTTCTTAGCAACTGAGTTTGGACAGGCTAGCAGAGCTCGTGTTTTGCTCAGGAAGTTAGTGGGAGTGTGGAACATGGATATGAAGAGCCTTGCTCAGAGATGAAGAGTCCTACGGGCCTGTTACTCTTGATGCTGACACAATCAGAAGGCATGTCAGTAGCCAGTGAGCTTCTTATACAGGTTTGCATGATTTTTCTTCTTTGTCTATACTTTGTAGTTGCTGATGCTGCCAAATGGTGGTTGGAGCTCAGCTCGCAGATGGTCACTGTGTTTATTCTGCTGTCCCTTCAAAATATATTGATGTGTTGATAAGGTGTCTTGGTAAGATCACTTCTTGAGTCATTGCTGAGTCAATCCAGTAAGTCAATGTCATGCAGCCGGATGTCATTCTGATATAAAATAATGTATGATTCTGTTTTTCACACTAGAATCTCCCTCAACACTGCACCACCAGTTCCATGCTGTGCCATTTCCCTACAAGTTTTTCTGCTTCTGTTAATCCTAAAGGTTTATCTTGGGCAGTTTACAAATGAACAGTATCTGTACTTTGATTTTCTGTATTTTTCTTTGTATAACTTGTTAACTATGAGAATGACTGATTGCACAGAATAAACTATTCTCAGTAAGTAAACAAGAAAAAGAGTGTGAGATTTTTCCTCTGAAACAGTACGATCCTACATCACGTGCTCCAGAGTTATATTTTAGAGGGGTAAAATTTGCTTTCTGAAAGAAAAATATTGCTTCCATTTTTGTATTTATCATATAGCTGTATCTAAAATATGAAAAGAGGTTTCCATAAATGAGAAGTTGTTACTGACTGTGTATAAATGGCCAGCAGTGGAGTTTGAAAATGTTACAGCTGATACGCTTTCTTTATAATGAATGAAATCAGTGATCTTTTCAAACTTTGAACTTCAAAAGAAATGCTTTAAATCCTTTATCTCCATTACACATGATCTGTGGTCATTTTAAGTATGTGCTCTGTGGAATAATTTCTGTTGGTTATAAACCCACTTACAGGAAAGAAGAAACACCTAGCAGGGCAAGGGTGTTCAAACCTGTATGTTCGAGTGTGTGGCCAATATTACTTCAAGTTTTGTTTTTATTTTGTATGGTATGATCAGGAAATTTCACATATGGTGTCCTTCAAAAAAACTGTGACAAAGCTATTTTAATAAGAAAAATTAATGTATGAATTATTTAAAATAGTTGGTGCAACTGTTACTGCTAACTAATCCAGGCACTTGGAAGGCAATTACACTGAGCTTTGACAACATTGCCAACCCACTGCACAGCGCCTTATGCCAAAAGCTATTGTTGTTTTATTGACCACGTTCACCATTACATATGCATATGAAAAAACAGAGGCATTTTCATTGGGATTAGCCTAATAGCATTAAGAGATTATTTTTTAAATTTCCTTGGAAGGAAATTCACTTAAATGAGATTACTTATTACTTGACTGGTTTCCTATCGTGCTGCTACGTTTAGGTAAGTGGAGTCCATTAGAGTATAAAGTTTTTTTAAAAAAACTGATTTTATACATTAATGATTTCAAATAAAAGAGAAGTCCTATATTTGTGCATAGCTTCTTTTGAGAAAGTTAAGTCGATGTTCTGGTTTGGAGAGATAACACTTCTTGTCCCTCTTGGTGGCCCCCCTAGTGTCACCATTAGTTGCTAATTACTTGCAAACAAATAAACAATTAACTCCTCGTGCCTCTTGGTGGGAGAGTTTTCATTGACATGCTAAAACTTTCTAATAAAAGATTTAATTAATGACGTTGCAAATCCAACCCCCTTGTCAACATAGCTATAAGGAGGACTTCTGGAGAAATGCAAGTACAGTGTATGTGCTGTGCTGGCTGAAGGTGAAACCATGGCAAGTACATCGCTGTGTGCAACTAATCCATCAGCATCTCAGAATCTTCGGAAGGTGTCTGGTTTTGTAGAAAATAAAACCACACAGTGCTCATTTTCCATTGAAAGTATTTTAGGATTGGAGCAGAAGAAGGATGGCATTGCAGCTGTGAAACCTCACAGACCATGGATGGATGCATGCACCAACTTGGGTAAGCCAGCAGTCTGTTTTGTAACCTCTCAAGCTTTTACTCCTTTTAAAAATATATACAATCATGTTTCTACTGAAAATCAGTAACATGAAGTTCACATTTGCTTGCTTTTTCCAGTTTTAGGTGATGACAGTAATCCCCATCTGCAAATCCCTGTTGTTTCCTATGAAAATTCATTATTTCATGCTAACAGTAATCCAATACAAGAGGAAAAAGTTTTGAAATGTGACAAATATTTTTCAGTCACTGAAAGACTATCTTTCAAACGAGAATTGAGCTGGTACAGGGGTAGAAGACCAAGAACTGCTTTCACTAGAAACCAGGTATGGATTTTCTTATTATCTGATGAATCAGTAACAATGTAGTTTGGAAAAAGTTGGCAGAAGCCTGTAACAGCTGACTAATTCAGTATTGTGTACCTCTCTGTAGAAAAATGTAATTAAGCACCTGTGTAAATTTGGTTATGTTGCTAACTTCAGCAGACTGATATTTCTGCATGAAATCACAACTGCCCAAGCACAATTCAGAGGTCTCCTATAAAACAAACTAAAATGGTATTTTTAACTCTTATAAAGGTAGTGATGATCACTCAATGAGTGTATTTTAATTTCCTCAGATTGAAGTCTTGGAAAATGTTTTTAAAATGAACTCCTACCCTGGCATTGATATTAGAGAAGAATTAGCTCGCAAGTTAGATTTAGATGAAGACAGGATCCAGGTAATTAAATTTTTACTTGAAAATATCCATATTTCTGTCCATATGTACTCTCTGTCAATGTAAATAGGTAGATTATCAGTAGTAGCAATTATTTTAATGTCAGCATAAAATAATGTGCATTTCTACGCGTGGGATGCCTGAAGTGATTCATGAAATGGATGCTGTCAAATTCCTTCTGAAATCTTAAACCTTTTTCCATGGCATTGATGAGACATTTGTCACAGTAAAATTTCTGCAGTTTCTGCTTTACTAACCTCCAATTCTTTGCTCCCAGGTTCTAAAATCATGTTTATTATGCTTGGCAACATAGTTTAAAACATAATTTGAAGTCAGTATTGAAATAATTTGTATGAAAATATGTTTGTGTTTTGGAAGTGTTGGGAGAGCATAAGTGCATTAAACCAGTGTTTGAGACAATGTCATTCATCTGGCCAAAAGCAAAATCAACTCAGGCCTTTAATTACTGATTTCTAACAACTCATATGTGATAAGCATATAATAAGAATTAGAATTTGGGCCTTTCCTTGATATTTATTATGCTTTTGATGCCATTCACGTTTGGCTTAACTGGAAGCTTGATGTTGCAGTTCATTAAGCAGCTGAAGTAACACCTGAAGACTTGTGTGTGAATTCCAGATGTTCAGGAATGTCAGGGTCTGACTGAATGTCACCAAAGTTGATATTAGTTTGTGTTTTTGTGAGTGAAGCTGAATCTCATTCTCCAGTGGAGCTGAGGGCATTATTTTCTTAGTCTTAATTTGTGCAGGTCATCAGTTGAAAATTCTAACTTTCTATTAAACTTCCAAATTACTGACACAATACTGTAGAGTTGTGTGAATACTTTTGTATTTCAAAGCCCGCTCTGTTTACAGTGCTGTGTTTCTGAAAAACATGCCTTTATTTCCATTTTAGATCTGGTTCCAGAACCGTCGTGCAAAACTGAAGAGGTCACACAGAGAATCGCAGTTTCTTATGGTGAAAAATAATTTCACCTCCAGCCTGCTAGAGTAGGAGCAAGGATGGTTTGCCTTTATGTTACTATAACAGGACTTGAAGAATTACTGGCATTGTCATTATTTGTATTAAACAATGATCGTATATTAATTATGATTTTATCCCTAGCTTTGACAGATTATGATTTTTCACTCAAACTGTAAATATGTGAAGTATTATAAACTAATTTTTGTGGAGAAAGTGAACTTTTCCTATATATTTTAATAAATATGTTCAGAAAATTTTAGATATTTTTTGCAGTTAAAAAATAAATCATAAGTTCTGAGTTGTGTAAGATTTTCAGCTACTATGAATTACTTCAGGCTTCACTGAAGGCAACTAAGCTTCCTACTTTTGAAGTCTATAATTCTTAACATGCAAAATAGTTTTTGATACATGAAACAGATTAGCTATTTAAATTCTAATGAACAGTTTTTAAGAAGAATATGACCTCATTTTCTAAAACATTGCTCTCCATGAAAATAAATGGATGGTATTAAACTGGTTTCAGTTTGAACAATTGTTTCATTAAAAGAAGCTTAAAATTGTAATCTTTTTAATATATTTTAATTCATTTCTGTTTAGAATATTATTTGTCTACTTGTCTATTTAGTGCTTCAATTCAGATATCTCCTCTCTTCTCAGTGTGAACCAGGCATAAGGCTATTCTGAGTTTTGTTACATGGCCGACATGAAAAGTAGGTTTTATTCTGAAGCAAAACTGTATCTGTAATAATCAAAGAACTGAACTGAATTATTTCATCTGGTGCAAAGAAAATGGTTTTAAGATACAAGATGGGAAAGCAAGAAAGTACTGTAGAGCAAAACTTTAAAAATTTATAAGTCTTAAACTAACAATTTCTTCTTGAAGTAATGTCTAGCTACTGAGCTGTTACATATTCTGGTGATGTCCAGATTTCTTGAGGAAACAATTGTTTTGTATGAAGTACTTTAATATCCACTGGAGGGAAGAACTGAAGCCCAAGTCTTCAGGCTCTGTCACCAGGCTGATGCAGGTTCGGGCACTTCATTTCTATTAGAATCACTTACAAGGACATGAAGGACAGAATGCCACTGTCAATATAGGTTAAATGTAATAACGAACAAACAAAAGGCAGTGAGGGAAACATGGAAAAAACTGTAGAAGTTCTTCTACTGTTGTAGTTGTCCAAATGCAGTTAGGTTAGTGTTCCAGGTTGGTGTTAAAACTTTTAAAGACCTATCTTAACTGCTTCCAGGCCATTCTTGATCACTACACCCCTTCCTAACATGTGCTCTCCTCTTCATTTAGCTTAAGATCTTCATTAGAAATCTATTCTACTTTTCAGTTTTAGTAATGGATGATTTTATGTAGTTTTGAATGTTTGCAAGGTATTTCAAAGTGCAGTTAGCTTAAGATTTTACCAGATATATCATACCTGTTATGTCATTAAAAAGAAACAAAACACAACTCTATGGGCTTATTGCCTTCATTTTTAAAGAAGGCCAGAAATCTCAAATTGCTTGATTTTACTTCTTGAAAACCTATTTCAGTGTGGAAATAAGAAACTTTTACCTAATATTGAAATGTTAACTATTTGTGCTTCGAATTTAGGAAGTAACATTAGCATTTAATATTACTAACTGAACTTCTTAAGCATTTTTGGATAGAGCATTTTAAATGGCACCAAATCTATTAGAAATAGTTCTAGAGAAAGAAGAAGTTTGATTCAGATGCAGACCTGATCTGAGCTAAAGACAATATTGGAAATGCGAGAGTTCTGTTTTGTTTTTCTTTTCACCTCAAGACATGTAATACCTGTAGCTTAACTTTAGTGCAAGTAATTTGAAACTATTGTTTACCTTACTGCTGGAAACAAGGTCTCCAACAGCAACAGATTAGACTAATCTGTACAGACCAATGCCTAAGAACCTTACTCTATTATCTGGCAAATACCTAAATGCACCTAATGTCTGTTATAATGGAACTTGTCTCAAGTGACGGAAGTCTGACAAAGCAATTTAAGAGAAGTGGAATAATAGCAGCAGCAGCTCTGGTATCCAGCTCTCAATTAGCAAGTGTTACTAGAGGGATGGCTTGCTTGGTACCAGGAGTTCTACATAACACTGTGAGGAGCAAAAGTCAGATAACATGATTGTGTTATTTCTTTAATCTTGGCTTAGATTGTTCTTCCTAAAGTAAATACATCAACAGTTTAAAGGAGAAACTTTAGCTTCACGTATATGCCTATTTTCACCAGCTTGGGTCTAAACTGTGGCAAAGACTTTCTTGTATATGGTTAAGTTTCTTTTCTATCTTAAAATATTATTCTGTATTTCATAGTACTTGCTAATCTTCCCGATAGTATGCAGCTTTCAGAATGACCTCAGTAGTACATGTAATACTGTTAGCTATCTGAGCACAGCTGATCGTGGTAAGAATAGTGGATGACACTGTCACAAATTCATGTTGAAATCAGGTTCCATTCCAGTTTTGTATTCGTCTTGTGATGCTTCTGTTTATCTACTTTTCAGAACTGTGATCAGAAAAACCTCAGTCATCTTATTTCCTCATTTGACTTCAGGTTTGTGAAGCCACAACCTCCTTTTCTTCTTCCAACCATTTTGCGTTGGCTCAAGAGCTCATTTGACACAGTGACCCTGAGATGAGTTCTTACATTTACAGAGACAGTGAAAACATCCAGCAAGAAAGCTGGCTCGTGGTAAGACTTCCCCCTTTTAGTATTGGCAAGCTGTGATGTCAGCATTCATCAACAGCTACAATTTAGGTTAGTGATAAATTGATGAGGCTCTCCTAGAACTGATTGTAATGTGCTTAAACATGCTAGTAATGCTTTCCTGAAATAGAGTCCTGTGCCAGTGACTATTGTTTACCTTACTGCTGAAAACAAAGTCCCCAACATACTCGGGATGCTGGCTGCATAATTATTTGTTTTAAATTGACTTTCTTCTCTTTCTTGATGTCTCAAGCTTAAAAAACTTTTATAGTCATGAACTTCATTAATGCCTATTGCCATCCAAAAAAGATGGTCTGTGCTCATGGCCTGAAGGCATACCCGAATCACACCAAACAACAAGTGCTTCCTAAGTTCTGTTCTAATATGACTTGCAGCATATGTGAGAGCGTAGTTTGAAACATTCTTTAAATTACCAATATTAGATTTTTAAAGCCCACATTTATAACACTTTTGAACTTAGAATTTTGTATTGGCAATTATTTGGTTTTACCAAGTCTGTGATTACAAACAGCAAGCTTGTACCCCAGCAAACTCTATTACAATTTTCTACTGGGTGTAAGTATGTCTGCATTTTTCTTGTCCAAATTCCTGAATTGAAAATACTTCTAAAGCAACAAAACCCAGGGTGTTTTATAGTTCCACAGAAGAAGAATAATACTGTGTTCTTATTGAAAATAAATGAGGCCTCAAAATTTCACCCAAGCATTTCTATGGCTGGATTTAACAAACGGCTTGTTTACCAAGCACTGAAATTGAGGTAGTTGAGATTAATTCTCAGGGCTGACTAATGATTAAAAAATAAATAAATAAAAAAACCCAGAAGTTTTTGAGAAATTATTTGTAAAATAACGTTTGTTATGATTTTTTGGCTAGAAGTGGTTTCTCTATCAGTTGTCAGGTTGATGCTTTTTATCACTTAATTTTTTAGGATTTGCTATTGTGTTATTTGCTCATTATGTGGGGAGAAGCTGGGGCTGCTGAGCATCTCCGGGGTGGGGAGGAGAGAGGAAGGGTTCTATCTGATTGCATCACAAAGGACCTTCGTGGGATGGTAATGGGCAAACAGTTGTCGGCGGGGATGGTAATCCGGGGTTGTGGAAGAGCCATCAATTCCAGATTCCTTTCTGAGGAAATAGACCCCACACTTACATGAGGTGAAGGAAAAAGGGAAACAAAAGGTGGAAGAGCTCTCTTTATTTTGGATACCCAAATTAAGCATATATTTATTGAATTTATAAGAAGGAATAAACTGGATTTCTTCTAAAAACTTTTTTTTTGCAGGATGTTTATCCTCACTGAGGTAAGAATATAACAAAAAATGCTTAGGTATACAGAATCATTGAGGCTGGAAAAGACCTCCGTGGTCACCTGGTCCAACCAGCAGCCAATACCACCATGCCCACTAAACCATGTCCTTAAGGGCCACTTCTACTCGTTTCTTGAACACCTTCAAGGATGGTGACTCCATATACATGGTTTGGGCCTAATTCTGGTATAATTGCCAGTAATATGCCAACTGTCATAACATCATGTCTGTAAATTTACATCAACATAGTTATTGTATCTTGTTTAATACTTTCTTGTTCTTGACCAGTTGTTATTTTAATACTTTTATTGTGGTTGCTGTTTGTCCACGTTGTCTAGAATCTTGCCTACGTATAACCAATTTATGCTTAATAAGTTAACTGAAAATAAATATTATACCTTTTAATGATATTTCAAGCTTTTAATACTTAGAGTTATATTACCAACCACAGTAATATTCAAAAACATCCTGGGATTCAGTTTGTATGATTGATGCTGTTGTTAAAGAAATTAAGACGACAGCAAATCAAATATTCTGCATTAGAGCCTGTTGACTATTTATAAACTGCGCCTTTTTTTTTTTTTTTTTTCCCCCAGATTAGACCAGGGTTTAAATTCATAAATATTGAAGCAGTTATTCAGTATTTCAAATATAGCTGAAAATGGTGGGCTACTTTTGCCCTCTTGTGGCTGGAGTTTAGAATTACAATTCTACATCTTAAATTTGGGTGGTGTCTGCAATCACGAGGTAGGCTGTTTGTGGAATGCCTGCTGATTGCTAAATTGTTGTACAACGACGATTTAGTTACAAAGTTTGTATGTGTGTATGAATGCTTGACCTTGTGTCTGCATTTCAAAAACTCAGGATGGGCTATGTTGAATTGAACCCAGCAGAAATTGGTAGGTTCTTAGTATTTTTGATAGTCTGAACATTTAATATTTAGATATTAACTTCAGAATTCAGTTTGGGGCAACCTTTTACAGCCTTCTAAATCGTTAAGGCTGCTTTCATGGGTATGTGATTACACACAACAAAATGCAGTCCATTTATAGCAGCAGAATCGTTTTATATCTGTCAAAGCATCAAGTAATTCTAAAAGAAACAAAAAATACTCCACCCTTATAATGGAACCACAGAATGACTTTGCTACAGTATCTACTAATGTAATTCTTATAACAAATGCAAACTTGAGAATGCAAATGTTTGGCATGCAAAAGGACTGATGATCACCTGCTTTTTCTTATAAAACTGTTTCATCACATTAGAACGATAAGAAATGGCACTGTACTATTTAAATACTATACATCTGTTATGGTTTGACTTGCATTTCAATATGTTTAGTCAGGATAAGAAATTTAAAAATGTGGTAGTTGTCACTTCTATTTCTTTCTTGATTTGAATATTTCTAAATTACTGACTGGATATGGATATATGTGTACTCCTTACTTCAAAGGTGGGACAACATCTCATTCCATGCTACAGGATGTGGCTAACTGACAATATAATTGCAAATTGCTCTAATTTGTTTTGACAGGGAAAGGAAGTCATAAG